ATCATGGAACGGGTTCTTTTTCATAAAGATTATTGTACCATGATTTCTTTGTCACACAGTCTGTCTTCAGACAAGTGTGAAATATAGTATAAAATTTTCTCTGTGACACCGATTTGAACACTTCAATCTTCCTCTTACTCCTTTATCCAAACTGGAAATGACGAGACAGCAATCAGAACCCTTGCGTGAGACTGTATGGTTAATGGTTGTCAAAACCGAAACCGAAAATTTTATGCGATCAGTCCGGAGTTCAAAGCCCGGATAGGACGGTGGATATAAAGTAATGATGAGCGAAACTCCAGTTGAGTGATTCTAGAGTGTATGGTCAACTGGACGACCTGAGGATTGTGCGTGGCGATGAAGTCTGAGGGGTTATCAGTTCACATCAATATCACTTATTTCACACCACTACTCACACGTAACTGAGTCGAAAGCGAAAAATACAGAAAGTATAAATTAAGTGCGAAGATATCGGCCGTAAAAATATTCGTTTGACAAGCGAGTCACAAATGGTTCGTCCAGGAATGGAGTTAGATAATCAATACACACTCAGAGCACAGACTGAATGTGTAACCAAATCAAATGGCAAGGGCGTTAGTTACTCACCTCGATTTTTGCTTTCTTAACCGCACCAAATGATGAACTTCGGAAAGCCGAACTCTTTTTCGGTCGACCTTTACGACTGGTCAAAATTCGATTCCCCATACTTGTGGTTGATAGTCCAGTACGAGATGTGGTGAATATCGGTCTTGAACGTCCAGTTACCCTGCTGACATTCGGACTGGAAATCAGAACTGACGAGGGCTCCAATTGGGGTATGGGTTCATCCGTTTTGGAAACTGTTCCGGGTTCCGATGAGCTTCGAGGAGTCTCTGGCTTCGGCTTTTCAATTTCACTCGTACGTCCAATAGAACGACGTAGTTGGCGGGGGGCGTTGATATCGACCAAAACTACTTCAGTGTTTGAAGCAACCGCTTTAGTACAGTGAGAACATTGCCTGAAATATCCAAACGGAGCACGATAACTTAATAGTCTTTTGTGAGAATGAAAAATTAGTAAAACTATATGGACGAATATTCGGCTATGGACAGTGTCCCTCGGCAACCAGATGTCATATGACAATGGAGCAGGATAACCGAAGATTTTGTTAGATCTGAGGCAGATAAAACGGGTTATTCGATTAGTGAAAATATCAACCATTATCATTTATGAATGGCACAGTTGCCATTGAGGAAACTCGTTTGCAAATTCGTTTTCACGTACCACGTTACTGCTAGGGCCAGGTGATTGGCAGAACATTAAAACAGAAAGAGAGAGAGTTCATCCTATGCGGATATCTCACTTAATTTAGCGGACAGTGTTTTTATTTGTTTACTTCTCAGCAAGCATCGACTTGTGGTTTATCAATCCGAATATGGTTGATTGCTTGATTGGGAAAGTAATTTCACTATTGTTATAATTCCAGAAGAACAGCGCTGACTTGAGGAGAATTCTGGACCAAGAATAACAGTAACGGGATGGATAAATTGACGTACGTACAGCAAAATGTCTCATTTGGAATATATAATCGAAATTCCCACAAACATAGAGGATAATGAATGGAACGGACCGTAGTCGCCATTTTTCAACAAAGTAATTCGCTCCAGGAGACCTTGTTAATTTTTGGCCGTTGTCAGAAGCCGTCAATCACGTTCTTTTGCCCAATCCAATCATACTACTCATAAATGTGAGTAGGACCTCAAAACAGTATCAATCTTCAGGAAAGGCTCTCAAAGTAGGAAGAAAAAAAAGAATACGGCAAAATTCAAATATACAAGCTAAGGGCTTGACCAACGACACCCAGACTTTGATCAGATATATATTGAGCTAATACATAAAACCAGTAAGCTCAAAGTTGATAGCTTTTGAGAGAATGGAGTGCGTGGAACTCTCCACTATCCTGGAAAGAGGCCCACACACATATACACACAGAAATGTTTGACTGATATTCATTTAGAGCGTGATTTTTAACTGCAACTGGAAATTACGGGTAGTCTCATTCTTTAAACATCACAATTGAACACAGATAATTTGTTAATATTTTAATCTTGTTTCATGCTTACAAGTCATCGACTGCGTCAGCACAGTTCCAAGTAGACTAAGCAAAAACGGGACAGCTGTCTGGTCTGTAGGTTTTATGAAAATTAAGATACGTATTTGTCTAACAAAGCTTCTAGACGAAAACCTGAACAATGCGCCTGTGCCGCCGGGGTTGATTAGATTCCCTGCTGTGTACCTTGTCAAAACACTGTATATTTGTTCTGTCTCCTCCAGGCATTCCCACCCACCCCGTTTCACACATTAATTATGAATGACTTTGCGCTGCTTATCAACGCTCCAACTTAGGGTATTACTCTGACATTCTATAACTAGGTTAATGAAAACGATGATCAGGCTTCACTATAGCGACTGCGGTGTTTCTTCCAGATGAGTGAGCATATGAACTGATCCGCTTCTGGATGCAACCTGAAGGATTCTTGTACGGAATTTTCCTGAAGGACAGACTGCCAACAAGTTTTGACGTGTTCCTTCACAGATAGTAGATTTTACGAGGTTGGTGAATTAATTTATCGTCAGGGTTATCATTTTTAGATATTTCATTTATTAGGAAAGAGACAACATTGTACATAATCCAAATGACAGAAAAATGGCCAAATATTTACCATCAAGCCTACTTGAAGCATCATCTGACAAACTTCTTCACTGAACAGAGGACAATGAGAATTGGCTTGCCTACAATGCTTCTTGATGGTATCTCGATCCGAGTTGTTTATGAGTAACAGGATGTGATACAGTGTGAATCACACAACCAATTAGTTTTTTGTCACAGGGATTTGAACACCACTGTCACCGAAGCCATGGCTTTTCGAGCACACGAACGGGTTGAACTTTAGGTCTATACACACACACACACACACACACACACACACACACACACACACACTTATGACTTTTCATAAGGTTTGAACAACAACGGTGGTGTGGTTAGCTGTTTTAACTCAACATTCATCTACGCAAATGGGACCAGCATAATTAATGTACTTAGCCCAATTCGTTGAATGTGGCCTTTACTAAGGCTCAGACATTCATTACTTAACAAATAGTACCAGTAGTAACCAACAGGCCCCGAAAACGAAACACACGCGCGCGCAACAATGATGTGTCACTAAAGAGACAGACCTACGAGCGGATTTCGCATTGTATTCAGCCAGATTGCTCCTGTGCCACAGAATAATAATACCTTCGATAGTGTACGCCGAATTCCACAGTTGCAACGTTTTAAAATGATTTGCCTATTCATTCGATCCATCTAGTCCTGCTGAAAGAATAAATCGGAATGGGAATAGCATGTCGACAATCATGTGATTGTCAACAGGTAGCTAAAGCTATTGTTGAGTGCACTTGTAGCTGTTCCGCATTCCTTTCTTTACGACTATTTCACTTTTTCCCGAGAGTTGATGAGCCAAAAGAAAAACCAGAGACTAATTTCATCGAGAGAAAAACCGGAACAGAACCAATCTGTGATTGATCCCAAAGAACAAAATATCCCAACCAGTTGTCGATAAACTAGCGGATATGATCACCGTTGAGTCGGACGAATATTAGAGCAGTCTGAGCCATGTGTCACAGTCGACCACTCTTCGTCAAACAGATCGTTATTCAAAAATTGCAATGCAATTGCAATGCAACAGGATTCACCAGGGGGGGGGGGGCTAAACGCGAATTGAAATAAAATCTTACCAGCCGTAAAGTCTGCTTCGTTTCGGCATGCGTAGAAGCGGTGGATCGAGACAGGCAAGATGAAACGCCTTTCCGCACGTGTCGCACTTGGTGATCAAATGCTGATCTTGCAGTCCGTGACAAACGACACATCTACGAAACAACGAAAACAAACCAAACTGTGCATGGATGAAAAGTCAGGAGTGAACCACGCAGCAAAAAGTATGATCGGATAAACTACCCGAAATCCCTAGGCCAAAAAGAAGTGTTGATTCCGAACATAAACTCACTCCAGTATCACCGTCCCAGTCTCGTCCGTTGACTCTCCCACATTCGGATTAACCCGCTCCTCGTCTACCCGAGCCTTGGGAGACCAACGAGTTGCAGACTGGTAGTTGGATTTGCGCTGTGCGGCGCGTTGAAGACTCAATCGGGCAGCGGAAGACAAGGCGTTTGAACGTCTCTGTCCAGCCAGGCGAGCCAAACGTCCAACAACACAGGGAACGTTTGTGGGGTGTCTACTATTGACCTCCGATTCAGTCTTTGAATCCAGGATCTGACTACGTGCTTCCAACAACGGNAACGGTTCCAGTGTTTCGGTCGCTTTGATTTTCTACAAAATAAATCGATGCTGTTTAATGTTTTGTTTGATTGTTTTAGTGAAATCGTAGCCAAACACGATCTTCAGCAGCTGGACTCACAGTAAGGCGACTGCGCGCGACAACCAGATCAGCACAATTCTATTTGCAAACAGAATTTAGACGTAATCACCGAAAATAAAGACAAATATATATAACAAAAAGCCGGTAACCAGAATTTTGCTGTCCTCCATGACAAATGAATGTTTTCGAATTTGACTCACAGTTACTTGTTAGCAGTATGTGGTATAATTGATTGATTTGACTATCCTTCAGAATTCACCTTCGCGCAGTTTATCGATTCAACC